GTGTAGGGGATGGCAGCCTCCATAAAATATGGAACAAGGACTTCGGCATGAAAATATATTTTATTTTTTTTTCATTTTTTGATAACTCTAATTAAAATACACATTGAAGCAAATGTTAGCTCTCCAGTAAACGAACCCAGTGTGTCTTTGCCTCAAAGTTGCATGAGAATTAGAAATGACCTACAAATCCTAAAAAAAAAAAAAAAAAAAAAAACCATAAAAAAGAATTTGGATTTGTTTTGAACACAGCAAGAAGCATGGACATATTATGTAAGAATTTGAAACTTCCAATAAAACTTCTCACATTTCAGAATCTGAGTTTGATATTTGTGACTGGTGGTAGAAATGCTAATGTTAATCCAGCACTATTGTGTTTTATCTTTTGCCCTGACTCTGTAATAAAGACTTCCGAGCTAGGAAATGGCTCACAATTTGTTAGTGGTACAGGAAATTTTTATTGATAGTGGAACATGCATGTGACTGTGGAGTTCTATATGTAAAATTCTTCATATTTTCCTTCAGGCTTATCAAGGGGTTTGATATTTTCTAAGACATTTAATTTGGTTTCTGGATGCTTCCTTAAGTAAACAAACAGAAAATGCCTTTGCTGTTGATAGAATAAAAAGCTTTTCTAGTAGTCAGTAGAGGGCGCTGTTGGCATTTGATTTGCTTTATAATGCCATTGACGTTCCCTTCTTAATTAATTCAATGTTTGAAATCAAACCTCCGTTTAAATGTAATGATATTAATATGTGAGAATAGATGTGTAAACGTGGAGATTTTCCATTCCCGTTACACCCACAGAACCAAAGGTCTCTAGCTCTCCTGTGAGTCTCTTTGAGAGTACTTATGTATAGAAAATGTTGGCCGCTATAAATTAAAGGGGAACACAGTTGAGTTCATGCATGCAGGCACTGATTCAACATTTCTAAGACTGATTGCAAGTCAGGAAGAAACAAACTTCCTATGGTTCTCAAGAAAAAAGTGGCAGAAAAGAAAACAAAAGAGACATTTGTTCTAGATACACACTTGAAGTTTTCAAAAGAAACATTTTAAGTGCTAGGTTTAAGGCAAAGTTGATCATCATTAATCTGGGGGTAAATACTGCTTTGTAGTGAAGATTCTAGGTGAATTTGACAGTACTTTGTGCCTTGATTTTGATTCTTCTTTTCTATTCCACTTAAGTTCCTTAGCCGCAGGCTGTAAAGGATTACCACGGCCGCAGTATTAAAAGATACCATTAAAAGATATTTTTACTTTTGGTGCTTAGATTTTAGTTAAACTAGATTACAAAGTAACAATCATTTTAGTTAAACTAGATTACAAAGTAACAATCATTTTAGTTAAACTAGATTACAAAGTAACAATCATTTTAGTTAAACTAGATTACAAAGTAACAATCTCCAAGCAGCTCACTCAAGTTTTGTGTTTATCAGACTGGTACTTTTATAATACACACGCCAGGTTCAAAGGAGAAGGGGAGGCCTGGTAGGGACCTCGGGAAGGATGATGGGAGCTCCACCTTCAAAGGGCCTCAGAAAACACACTGTCTGTCGTGGCGCCCAGGTGAGAAAGAGGAAGGAGTTTTCTCCATAAAGTGAACATGAAAGAAAAGTGTTCAGCATTTAAGTCAGTGACATTAAAGACTTGCCACTTTACCGGTCTTAAAATAGAAAACGACGTGCGAGGCCAGCGAAGCAAGCAGCCTTCTGTTGGTGCTGTGTTTTCTGAGACGCCGCCCCGGTTGCCGCCCAGGGTGGAAGGCTTCCTTGCTGGGTTGCACAGAACAGGGGACGCAGTTGATTCTGTATCCGCATATATAACGAAGTGCCACTTTCTGGGAACAGCCCAACACACTGTAATTTGCAAACAAAACACCAAGCCAAAGGCATGTCACTGTTCACAAAACACACGGAACTTCTTGGAAGGCAAAGAGAAAAGAGATCGTCTTGTGTTTTAATCCAAAGGTAGACAAGGTTCTGTGATACCGTCAGGCAGTGTCTGCTTCCCTCTGATCGTTTACACTCTTTAGTGTGTCCGGGTTGGTCTGTGTTGTCTTGATCTCTGGCCTTCCAATCCAGATTCGTTTTACTTTGCTTTCTGACTCTGCCATTCAGGTAGAGTTGAAAGAAAGAAACAGAAATGCTTTGAGGTTCTTGAATGCTCTAGCTAGCTAGGACAAAAAGGCCCAGTACTACTACAAATATAATTTTAGGTGAAATTTTTGTTCCATGTGAAGCATTAATTTTAATAGAGACTTATATATAAACGCTCATTTGAATAATAATGTAAAATTAAATTTAAATTGTAAATACCGTCCAGTACTAGCTGTTTCCTGGCTCAAATTCTTCAGCACATATGGTGCCAGCATAAGCTTGTGCCTGTCTGCCTACTCTGGGTAATTTTGCATGCAAATAGTTTTAGTGCCTATGTTGAGGTGCTAAAACGTGTTTAGTACACTTGAAAATATTTGCATTGCAAAAGGAGAGTGAGTCTCCTGAGGAAAATCAAATTGATATTTTGTATTAAGAGACCACTCCGGGCACCGTGTGGTCTTCTATGGAGAATTCTGTTTACAGTACAGCTAGCATTTTTTAATTGACCTTCAGAAGCAAAGATCTGGCTATAGCTTTGCCAACTTTACAAACCATGGACCATCTTCTGGCAACACTGTCCCTCCACATTAATCAGCAGGACAGAGAGAGCAGGAAGGACTGCTTGCTGGCTGCTTGTCTGGACTGTCATTCTCAAGCCTCCGTTCGGGGTACTGGTAGGAGAAGGCTGAGGATTATAAGCAACGTTTCGGCTGGAATGTGCCTAACCAATTAGCTAGCCCGCTAACCAGCTAACTCGGGCAAGGCTTGCATACAGGGGAGCAGCAGCGACTGCTGGGCGTGAGGCCCCACACACTCTCGGGTTTGCCTCACTCCCATCTGCTCCATTTACAGGAACCAGTTCGTTAAGTCTGAATTGAATCCAAATAAAATGCGTTTCTGATGCAAGCCCGATGACGGGTGCCATTCTATGCTGCATTATGTCAAATTAGAGTTTGTTTGGAAAAGAGGTTACAGAGGGCCTACGTAAATGTCGCGTGCATGGAACATTGGCCGAGTAAGAGTTCTGCACAAATTCAACATCCACTTTCTATAAACAAATCCCACCTCCCCAGTTTGACTGCTATTCACCAAGCTTGAGTCAAAATATTAGAACCCCTAATGAAGTAATAAATAAAACCCAAGACAGGCTAGCAAGAGGTTTGTGGAAGCTCTCTTATAGCCATCTTTCTCGTGGTTTTAGAGAATTTATTTTATTGCCTATCCTTGTTGAGGAGTAGTGTGCCCTTATAAAATGAAAGTAAGTCTAGTGTCTACAAAGGAAAGCCATGAGTTGAGGCGCACAAGAGGAAACCAGAGTGCGACGATTTCTCTCCCCGCCACTCCCTCTGTTGGGAAGGGAGACCATGGAATTCTTATCACTCCTCATGTTGGAGGTGGCAAATCTGTTCTACGCCTGCGCTCCACAGAGAACTGCCCACTGTTGATGCTACGGGGCTCAGCACTCCATGACGCACTCCAGGTATTTGATCCCTTCATCTCTGACGCTTTTCACAGTGTCTACGGTGAAGAAGCATTTTGCAGCAATGGATAGCTAAAGAAAGGTAGCAGGGCAAGAGTCAAAAGGAACTCATTACAAACACAAGACATCTGGGACCGGCTGACTTTACTGTGGGACGAAACTCCTGGATGCTCTCTATTTCCTTTCAATTTTTTTTTTTCCCTTTTGGAAAGAAGAAGCCTCTGTTTTATGTAGGACCCTAGCACATCGATCAATCCATTAAACAAGTAAATAAAACACTATCTAAACAATAAATCATTGTGACTCTCATTCACGCACAAACCTTTTGGTACCGAAATGACAAGAAATGTTGACATTCCGAGGAGGCGACAGACTTGCCTCGTCCAATGATTTTGCATATAAGATGAAGGGCTGATTCTACACTCTGCTGCATTGCTCATTCTGGACCCCAAAGAGTGAGTGGGGGCTTCTTTCTCCTTTGGTAATAGTGGAGTGTGATTCTCAGCATGGGATTGTTTGTGTGTGTGAGCGAGTGGGCGCCTGCTAGCCCATGTGTGGCTGGGGAGGGGCATGCTGTTCAGGAGAAGCCCAGCACACATTTCTGCCATCACAGACGGTGGGCAAACAGCTGCCGCCACAGCTGAGGCCGCTGGAGCTGCTTGCCCTGCCTCAGTAACTCGTGAGCACATGGCTGGTCCCTGGATGGCACCAAGCCCTGCGCAGCAGCAGAGCGGCCCCAGCTTTCCTGAGGCTGAGCAGGCGGGGACTTTGCCACCAGACACAATAAGCATGTGAAATCAGGTCTCATGAATAATTCATCCTTGGTGTCCTATGAAACAAAGAAATGGTATGTTTGCTGGGAGATATCCATGTTCTGGCATTTGTAAATCTTTCTGAGTTTGGAGTTGATCGTGTTTCTGCTGTTGGAAAAATGTTATGTTTTGTTGTGTTTTTAAATTTTTCTAACACAGAGAGTTGGAAGTTCAACATGGTAATTTTACAGTGGAGGTCTTCCATGACATATTGAATGGGTTATACTAATTTGGCTCATGATTTGGGAATCTAAAAAAGTAAAATCTCATTTGGTGTAAAGGGATGCTAAAATGGGTTTACTTCCATAGACTACAGCAGAATACAGATCTCTCAAGATTATTTCTTTCTTATAAGGTAAGTGGCCCACTTTGCTGGTGCATGCTTCTTTTCCTAGGGCTGGAAAAGCTGCGGAACTTCTGGCGCATCACAGCCACACTGGAAGACTTGATCCCTCATTTTAACCATCTTTAGAAAAAAATGATTCTTTGGTGAATTGGACCTTGAATTGTTTTTGTGACCATTAAATACTCACTAGTTAAACACTAGTAAAACAGGTAATAAAATAACCCTGATCAAGTGAGGTCACTGTCTGTCCCTGTACTAGACCGAAAACCAGGAGTCCACAGATCCACTGGGTCGATTATATGCATTTGCCTAAAGAACACTTCTGATGCTCTGCTCTCACCCTACCAGGAATGGTCTCAAATCTGTCTTCTGCTCTTCATCCATGCTTTCTCCACACACTTTTTCTTTTCATTTTCCTTCTTCTTATATGTTTGCTGCCTCCCTGCGTCTCCCTAGAATTCAGGTTACCTATGGACCTATGAGTTCCTCTATATCAGGAACCTCACGCAATCCATTCTGGTGGATAGAGAAAATCAGAGAGCGGCCACACTGATTTTGCAGAATGAACAAAATGAGACCAGGAATGGGTAAGGTTCTGCCAATTATATGCTGCAGTGAAAATATAATTCTTTTTTGGTCTTGGGTAAGGGGGTTGGCAGCTGAGGTATAAATGGGCAGATGATAGAACTTCTAGTAAGGAAGAAATGTGAGCATGCTGAGATGTGTGTGTGTGTGTGTGTGTGTGTGTGTGTGTGTGTACGTGCATGTACACATGCTTGCGTGTGTGTGTTTGTGTGTAAGAGAGTGAGAGAGAGACCGAGAATGACTTTCAATACCCTCTGTCTTTTACAGGTGAGGAAGGGGATGTCTCATAGCACAAGTGTAGCTGAAGCAGGGCTCAAGTCCTGTGTGCCTGACAGAAAGACCCTGAGTGTTTCTGACCTTAGGTCTTGTCATTTTACTTTGAGTCCTCACCTCCGCAGTACATGACAGTAGCCTTGCTGTGCACTTGCATCGGACCAACCTCCTTTACTTTGTGCATGGTTACTAAGACAATAAAAAAAAAAATACAGTGGCTCATAAAGTATTGGTCTTTAGAAAAGATAGTAGACTTTAGAGAGACAAAAACTAACAGTGTTATCAATGACTCTGGACCAGTGAGGCATCATTGGGAATGGGGAGTAACAGCGTAATAAAGAACAAAGCCAAATCAGATAGGGTCGCACAAGAAGAGTGGTCATTGCCTTTGATTTTTGGTGCATCGCGTGTATCAGCTCCAGTCATCCCTGCATTATGTGCCTTGTTTTAGCATGAGGTTGCATAGGTTGCTCAGGTCTTCTCTCCTGAGTACTGTCTTTGGACTCAGCCATTTGCTGTGCTCTTTCTTTATAGGCAATATCACTTAGATTTGCAGCATTTATTTCCAGTATGGAAAAGAATCATTTGAAGGAGTTGTAGTCAAATTTATGCTTCTAATTGTGTATATTATAATATGGAAATATATGAGGACTATAAGAAAATATAAGATGTCTAATGAAGTGAGCAAAAGAGGAAATTACAGAAGAGCAAAGAACAACCTGTAAAATTGGTAATGTGTTCTAAGTTAGACAGTTGGAATCTTTAGGTCAGAGACTCCTGGAGGTAATGCTACCCTGGTCTTTGCTAGATTTGTGCTTCCAGAGACATTCAGCCTCTCTGAATTATCAGATTTATCTGAAAATCCTGACAAAAACACAGACCTCAGAATTTATAATTAAAAATCTTTAGAATTTCTCCTAGCCCTAGAGCTATAGGGAAGCAAGACTGGTGTAAGATTAGGGGGGTTGGCCCCCTTTAGAAATTTAGGGCTTCTTCCTCCTTGTGTGGAGTGCCCTATCCTTCCAGGAGGAAGGTTAGACAAAATCTTTTTACGTAGTCTAGGTCAGTCTTGAATTTGTGGCAATCCTCCTGCCTCTAGGAGGAAGGTTAGACAAAATCGTGTTACGTAGTCTAGGTCAGTCTTGAATTTGTGGCAATCCTCCTGCCTCAGCTTCCCAAGTGCTGCGATTACAGACTGGTGCCACAAGTTCTTCTTTCATCACATGACTCTTTAAAAAAAGGCAAATAAGTTCTCAGATGAGGCAAGAATCCACTGTCTTCTTTGTTTTTTCAGTAGTATATCACGAAAGGCCAACATAACAAACATCAAAAATACAGGTTTGAGGGCGGGTGAGGACCTCTTGCTTTTCTTAGTTTAGTCTCATAGCGTTCATTCATATATGTCTGTTAGTATCAAATCCACATCTGAGTGGAGCCTCCCTTCCACATGCAAAGAATGCTCATCTGTTGTATGGCTTCCAACGATGATGGGAGTCATAATGCTTCTCCATCTCACGAAGCATTTCCTGTGTGATTGATATGGAAAATCTGAGCAATTTCCACAACACAGTTATGAGCCATCATACAGGTGCATTTAGTTTTTAATTAATCCTAAAAATGTTTTTAATAATTAGTAGCAATACCACTAATTGGCATGTAAGCCGTTCTTGTACCAGCAGGCAAACTGTAGGTTTACTTCAGCACACCCACACCCAATCAACTGAAAATTGCTCGAATGCTTATCTTATAATTACTGTGCTTAATGCTGTTTGCATTGTTTGGAAGCTTTTGTGATTAATTGATTTTCTTTTTAAACTTCAACCTGTACATGGCACAGCAAGGATTAGTCCTTTCCTGAGTAACATCTTATTTATATTGAATTGTTTAGACACATATAAGGGAAAAAATAATAGGGTTTGTTTTCACCTGCCAAACATAGTTCTTCTTTTTAAGCTATGGCTAGACAGACCATGTAGAAATGAAAGATGCTACCTACAAGTCTTTGGTCAGTTGACTCTGTCCTTGGCATTTCACTGAATGGCATGGTTACAATTTTTACCATTATGGTAAGATAAAACAGTACTATGACAATTTCATTATTAAAGCAAACTGTACAGCTTTTCCTTGAGCATTAAAATTTGATATATATTTATGCCGGCCTTTATGGTTTTGGTCCAAAAGTCACAGACAAGAACAGGACCAAATCCTGAAATGAACTTAAGATTGCTGGTGATCTCGGTAATAGTAGAGCTAGGTGATAAGCCTGTCTGTGTTTTCATGGTATGGAATGACATAAAGTTTTATGAGGAGATTGCTGAAAGGTACAAATTTGACTTTCAGATCAGAGGCTGTTATAGATTGGTTAGGAACTGGTGCTAAAGTCAGAAATGGGCATGAATATTCCTACCTTTACTTATTTACTTCTCATTGTATAGCTGCTGGGATTATGATGTGCCCAGGGATGTGCTGGGCAAGAAGGGAAGAAAATCAAAACAAAACAAAACAAAGCAAAGCAAAGCAAAACAAAACAAAAAACCCAACTAATCAACCAAAGGAAAAAAGGCATTGTGGAAAAGCAGAGCCATGGCAGTCAGAAAAACAGGACTGAAAATCTTGGTCCCATATTCAAGTTATTGGGGAGTTTTAAGAAAGTTCTTTAGTACCTCAGATGTGCTTTCTGTCATCTGGAAAGTGGAAACCCTGATGTGAGAATCAACTGACATCCTGCATGTAAGTATTTTGTGTTTTCTTGGTGTGCAGCACTTGATGAATTTATGTGTAATTTTAATCAGACCAAGAAGTAACTCATAGAAAAGATGAGAATGAAGTATAGCAACTAGTTATAAGGTCCTTTAATGTCCAGTGACAGAAAGTCTCAGGTTCAGTTAGAATACCAAAAATCCAGGCTTGAAAATGGAGGGAGAGCTGAGCGCACACCTGAGGACTTGAGCACCAGGAATGTCCCGACAGCCTTCGCTAGAACTTCCAGTGACCAAACACATTCCACATCTTCCCCCTTGGCCTTGCATCTTTGTTTGAAGAATTTAAAGTTCAGGGAAGAGACTGGAACTCTGGGTAAAATTATTAAAAAACTAATAAGGGCATTGGGTGATTGGTAGCTCAGAGTCAACATGAAACATGACATATAGCATCAGGGTACATACCACTCGTAAAGGTAGCTTTCTGCACATGAAACCTGTGCAGTCAAAGATCCCACAGCTCACAAAGTCCATTCTTGCCTTCCTACTCTAAGCCACCATTATTAATGAAATTCTTAACTGTTGTCAACAAGGGATTCCATGTCTTCATTACACTGGTGTCAGGGACTTTGCAGCTGAGTCTTATCATACGTTTTGTACTAGGGACCTGAACATAGTTCTGCAGAAACACAAAGGTGCAAGAATTTCAAGATTCATGAGAAACCCCAGGGAAAGAGTCAGGGTAGGAGAGGCAAGGTAGCAGTCAATGGTAACTGAGTGGTAAACAAGGTGAGGGAGAGGAGGGGAGGGAACCTAGAAGCAACAGTCATTATCACTTTCTATGATTAAAGAGTATAAACATAACTCGGACATATTTTTGACTAAAAGGTACCCTTTTGGGAAATAACAGAACAAGGAGCCTGAGATTAAACCCAGGTATGACTAATCCCTATATATATTTTGGAAAGTCACAATTGTCTTGCCTGTAGGTGCTATGGGAAGAATTCCACTCCAGCCAAGCAGACAAGGCCATGAGAAACAGGCGGCTTACCTGTTGTTTAGGTCTGCCCTCCAACCAGGCATCTCCTGCAGCCACTGGAGGCATGAGCTGTCCCCAGTGCAGAATTTCATGTTTTGGCACCGAACTCCCATGTTCATGGCAGCATATGCCCAAGTGGAATGGCTGGACAGTGAGCACTGCTGCATAGTTGCTTTCCTTGTATTATCTTAGCCTCGAAGCCCCTCCGTTTTCTCCCATTCAACCTTTGATCAACTCTTTTAAGAACACAATCCTGGGCATCTCTAGTAACCCTTTCCTAGAATGCGAGTTCCCTTTAGCATGCCTATTCTTTTGGTCCTCGTTGGGTTATCTCTTGCCTATTGCTTTTGAGATAGGGTATCACTATATAATCCCCACTGCATTTAAACTCATATTGATCCTCCTGACTCAGACCCCTGAGTGTCAAGATTACAGAGCCATCCCACCATGCCTGGCTGGTGGCTGATGGATTTAATTGTCAGAAAGTATTTTCTTGGGCCAGCAAAATGGCCCAGCAGGTAAAGGAACCAGTCGCCAGGCCCAATGCCTTGAGTGTGAGCTTGGTTGCCACATGGCCGACGGGAGAGTACTGACTCTCACTGGTTGCATTATGACCGAACAAATGAAATGTTTTTTGTTTGGTTTGGTCTTAAGTATTTTCTTCTACAGAGCTAAGCATGCTTTCTCTGAAACACTAACCAAGCCATGTTCTGGAATGCCTAGGGTAAGCATCATTCCTCACTGAAACCCAAGCTAGATTCTCTGGTGACAGAGAATTGGTGGCCCATTCCGTTGGAATATGTTACGGAGTACAGAAGCCTGCTCTTCCCAACGCGATGGTGTAGCGATGGGCCCAACAGACAGCCCTCCTCTTAGCTGAATGGGGCTATGTTTTGTTTCCAAGAGAGCACAGGGAAGTGCCGTCTATGGATTCATTCTGCCTTCTGAGCTCCACACTCCCCCTGGGAAAGCTCTTCCCCATTCTCTCTGTCATTTGTTATGCTGTGGGCCCACACCCAGCTGAAGCCATTGCATGAGAGACAGAGCCAGTCACAAGTGCACTCGTGCCAGGAAGGACAGCCCAGACGTTTGCCATCTGTGTCTCAGCTTTCTCTAGCTTTTTCTTAGGTTGTTGTTTAGGAACACACCCATGAGCCCTGGCCCCTCCCCACAGCAGTGGGAACAATCAGCATATCTCACAATACTAGATTATGGGGTGATGCCGTCTCATAAAGTATTTTCTGGAAATTTGATTGGGATTCTATTAATGATGAACAATGGGACATCGTGCAGTCAGATGGGTGTGTGGGAGACAATCTTCTCAGTAATAACAACAAAATCAGCATCCCAATGACTTTTTGTGTGTTACTTTAAGCAGAAGCCAGGTCAACTCAGTCAATACCTGTAGGGTCCTTTCAATGCTTGGAAGAAAATTAGAATTGCACAGACTCGAGCATTTTCGAGAGAATCATGTTGACCACCGACTTCTCCCACAGGGGCTCGTATGCTGCCTTTTCTTGCTGAAGCTGAAGCTGTCAACCCACGCTCCCTTGTTCCCTGGAATATCCTTGTCAGGACCCAATAAGAAAGAGCCTCCACCTCTACTCACGGAGTTCTCTCTCATAGATCATAGCCTAATTTCCTTTGTACAGTTTTTAATTAATCCCTACAACTCACTAAGACAGGAAATACTATTCATATTTTTAAAACAAAGAAATCAAGGCTCAAAACACTTAAGCAATTCTCTTTAGTTCAGTCTATTCTTAAATGAGGAAATTAGGGTTCAAAGTCATTTGAGGTCACTTCCCAAATTCAAGTTTCTAGCGAAGAACTGAATAGAAAACCCAACCCCTGGCCCTGGCCAAATGTGACATACAAGATACCATGTGCATATGTAGGCTGTGTCACATTCAGGGCAATCTAGAATTCCTCTTACTAGGTGTTGAGTTTCTGAAATATTACAGTGGTTATCAAGATATTGGTAGCAAGTATCTTGTTTAAACTTTTCAAACTGGGAAGTGAGGACATTGAAGTATGGATCTATAGAAGAGAACAACAGAGAACCATAATTTCTATTAATTCTCCTGAATACTATTGGCATTATTGTTTTTCCTTATGGCATACATTAAAAAGACATTTATATATAAAATGTGTTTTGGAAATTTATATCCTTTTACTTATGTTGTGGAAGATAATTTAAAGCTGGAAATACTAAAAATTCACCCTCGACTCCATCTGCTATTTCAATGTTCACACAGTGCCAAATCAAAGTTCGCTTTTTTTTTTTTTTTTTTTTTTTTGTCAGATGTTTGCCTTACTTGATAAAAGGAGGTGAGGTTGGAGAGGTGGGGTGACCATCTTGACAGTTCAGGTCTAGTAGAGCTGTGCTATCTATGAAGGTGTTGGTCCCTCCAAAATTACATTTGGGGGATTTTGCAGGTGATTGGTCAAGTCTTCTAGCACAGCAATCGTGGAGGCGTGGCACTATTCGGGGCAGAGAACCTCTTTCCAAATGTGGGGAAATCCCAACTGTGTTAGAGCAGCTAGCAAGATGATTGTTTACTATCCTAGTGTCCCAGTTGGCTGGGATGTGAGTATGGAAAAGGTACTTCCCTTAGAAATGATCCAGATTCCTTGTTTAGTAATGGCAGGCAAGAGAAAGAAGTGCTAGTGTGCGCTTAAAAAAAATGGGTCTCCTTTGCTCTCAAAGTCTTTGGGAAATTCGGATCAGAACAAGCTGTGAAGCCATAATTCCAGTTGTGAAGCTCTGAACTAGCTCGTGGCTGATGGATGGATGTGGCCGATGGACGGATGCTGCATCTCATTAGGAAGTCCTACATCCCAATAGCGAGCTGGGAAGTGGTTTTGGCTCTACTTGTAAAATGTGTTGTGTTTTGCTTCTGGAGTTGGCTCATGGCATGGCCGCTTGGGTGTAGGTTCTTAAGCCCAGCGTTGGTTGTATCACATCCTTCTAAGGTGTTCTTCATGCTCTGTGCTGCTTTCTAAGGTATGGGACACACTGGAATCTCAGGGTAGGGCAAAGGGAATGTGAGTTTATAATGCATGAGGAGGCAGATAGGTGTCACTGCCCTTAGATGATAATATAAATTATCTTCAACACTTGTTAATGCTAATCAGTGATACTGATGTCCAAGAAACAGCAGTTCCTTGGTATTTTGTTTTCCAGGCACACCCTGATGAGAGGTGCTGTTTTGAATAATGTCACAACAACCAATGGTCAGGGACTGGGTGCCTACCTAAAGAGAAACACAGTTTCAAGAAAAACTCCATGTCTGTATGTTTTTTTTTAAAAAAATAAGTATTTATTTAATTTTATGAAAGGGATTAAAATACCCAAGAGAGTGAAAAAGACTGGTCACCCAGAGAGAGGAAGCAGTATATCCCTGCAGACATTTGGGGTCCTTGGCACACCAGTTGTGAACATCAGAATTCTCGTGACGGCTTTACCTGTGAGAGACTGCACATGCAGCTTTGGACCCAGAGACATTCACATGTGATCCCAACAGAATTTGCTGAGGTTCCTCTTGAGACAAACATAGGGCATCAGACTGTGACCACGAAGGCGGTAAATTTTCTGGGGTTCCCGGCATCACTTTTTCCTAGTAGCTTCATCAAATACCTTCCATGAAGTTCTGGATTACCTTAAAAGGTTTCTTGTTCCAAAGATGACCAGACTTGGTGCAAATGGTTTTTCCACTTTACACGTGAAAACAATAAATAAAGAAAAAGTCTATCAGACTAAACGAAGATCACAAAGTCGTTCTCTATTGCTGTACAGGAGCTGAATCCAAGACCTCAGGACTGCAAATTCCTAGTTCAGTTGGCAAGTGAGAAGAGCCAGGAGGGAGGGTGAGGAGCTTGCCCAGGACTACATAGTTTCCGGTGACCGAGCTGAATTCACACAACCAGTTCTGGCGTTCTTGCTTTTCACGGTCAGTAAGCCTCTGTCGCTGTGTCCTTTGATACCTTCCTATTAACCTGCTTTATTTAGAAAATTATATGTAATTTATCAAAAGGCATGAGAGAGTCCATTTTGTACCTCTTTTAAAAAGTTATCCATATATACAAACAATTTTAAAAATGTTTGTTGCCATTTATATATTAAGATCTTTGTGGAGGACATTCATCTCGTTGAGCAATGGGGGATATTTAGATTGTTTACATATTCTGGCCAGTTATGTTAACAAAACTATCATGCACAGAGTATCTACTTCTAAAATAATTAAAAATTAAAACAAAGTTGACACCCAAACTCTACTCATCATAATTCAGTTTCACTTAAATTCTGATTTTTGAGAGCACGGCCAATTTTGTTGTGGTCTCCAGTCTTCTGTATTAACATAATTTTGCATTCTGAAGAAAGAAGCTATGGCAGGGTTAGCAATTAGGTTGTTTTAAAGCAATACTTCATAAACTTCTTTTAAAAAGTTCTTTCAAATTATATATACATACATTCACAAACATACATACACACACACATACATGTATATGCCCATACAGGGACCACTTTGTTATTGTCTCCCATTAAGACAGGTAGCTTAAAATAAAGCAGGGGGCATTTGCTCCCACTTTCAATCAAAGGTGTGCCATGACAGCATGTACAAAAATGAGGAAAAGGGGAGAGAATGTTTTCTTAGCTGTAGAAACATCAACATCTTAAGAGATAGGACTGTTGCAAAAAGAGAAACTGGAATTAGCAAGCCAGTGTCAACAGAGCGCAGTGTGCAGATAGCAACCTCCAGCCGCCCGGCTCATGGTTGTGAGGTACTCACAGCTTCACATGCGAAACTGCCTCAGTCTGCTCATCCTATGAACTTAGGAAAGCCTTCGAGGGGATCCATCCAGGAGTTAGGGATCAGCCAAGACGCATACTCTGTTCTTGCTGTAGCTTTTTTTATTGTAGTGGTTTTACAAGTCATACTGACCATAGCCAAAAAGAATTCTTTTCTTTGCAAGAGGAATAATGCAAAAGGCTGATCATGGTAGGTAGCAATCTTTGACAACCTGCATTTTGGAGTTTAGTCGATAACAAAGTTAAAAATAAAGAAGGAGAAGAAACACACACACACACACACACACACACACACACACACACACACACACACTCACCCTCCAGTCATCTATTCCCTGAAGAGATGTAATCTTTGTGTAACAGTGCTTAAATCAGCGTGACATTTACAACACATATTAAGTGGTTTGTTATTTATTTCAGGACTTTAATTGGCACAATATATTAATGGCATTGTCGCAACACTTCCCCTTGATGAGGTTTCTGTTTGTTTGTTTTTGTCTTAAAAACAGAGTGAGAAAAGAGGAGAGGGAGAAAAAGTCTCCACCAGAATTACACTCTCACCCCTGCTTTGTTATTCCTTTAGCCTGAATGAATTGCTGCAGTTACGAAAAAAAGAAAGAAAGAAACTAGCTTCAAAAATCATAGTTTAGGCTCAATACAATTTTATTAAACCCAGACTAGTGGGTTTTTTTTCTGCCATTCTAATATAACCTATTATGAGAATTTTTCCCCATAGACACACATACACACAAATAAACGTACCAACTTTCCCTCCCTAAGAGCTTCTTATTGTTCATTTTCATTGCTATTTAGAGAAAAGGCTCATTAAAATATTATGAAGCACATAGCATGATTATGTGCCAGCCTTCACCAATGAGGAACATCTGTAGCGCAGTGTATGTATATTTGTATTACAGCAAAGTTTAGCGCAGACTCCCTTTTCACCCCCTTTACTTCGCCTCTGTCCTGCAACTCTTTGTCCTGACTACAGAGCAGGCCGAAGTGTGAAGCAGCCGAGGCTACAGTGCACTCATTGTCAGCCTCTCGGGGCTCCCTCTGCCAGATGCCATTATGCTATCATTAGCCTGTAGCTCACGCCAGGGTAAATCGTGCTCGGCTAAGGCTTCCAAACCTCTCTCTGTTCTTTCCTCCCTAGTTATTTTTAAAATGCATCTTTCCCCGCCTTCTCCCTCAGATACAGAAAGTGCCCCCAACACCCTCCAAGTCCCCAAATCTGAGCTTCCCCTTTCTTTGCGTTATTCTGTTTACTTTAAACTGAAGAAGCTTGGGCATAAGAAAAACACTGAGAGCTTGCCTATACCACAGATATTTGTGGAAAGCACATGGTGCCATTTTGCCAGACTACTCTTATTTGTTAAACTGAGTTAAGTGTAACGCGATTCCAAAAACTGCCTTTAGAATGAAAGAAAAGCCTTGTAAAGCCAGAGAGATAATTGCCGCAATCTGGGTTACAGAAAACGCAAAACAAAGGAGCACAATCCTGTTTTTGTGTGTGTGTTGATTGTGTGCGTCTTTTTGTTTGGGTTTGGGTTTTTTCTCGCTGGATGTACCCAAACAAGAGAATACTCCACGGTGTGCGCGATGAACAGGATAAAAACCACCCCAAAGCTCGCTGAGCTGTAACAAAACAATCTCTGTAGAGGACAGTGGCACGTTTGTGGTAGGGATGTCTCTTCAGCAGGGAAGGCTGTCTGTCTCTCCCTCCATGTAGCAAACCACCCTCAAGGCAGGCAGTTATCTCCAGTTGCCAAGACCCTGACGCGCATATACCTATCCTGCACTCGAAGCTGTCACTTGATTTTTGCACCCATAAGGCTGATTTGAAAAGAACTTAGCCCCCCAAATCTTACCCAAGAATCCATAGAAATCCTAAGGCGGCATCCTCTTACAGGGCTTTCATAGCCATTGCTGTGTTATCAGCCTTCTCATTACTGGGCAGGGCGTCCTTTGGGATGGTTTGGGAGACTGGACCATTCTCAGTTTTCCTTTCTTTGTCTGCCAGTTGTTTCTAGATTCTAACCACTTTTCGAGACAATGATTTCCATACGTGGATCTGTATGTAAATATTAATAATCACCGCATGTGCATTTAAGTATACAAAAATAAACACCATTCCCACACATATTTCTTGTTTTAAAATTGCTGGTTCTTATTCCATAAAAAGGGTTGTGTTCCCAAAGCACTCTGCTAATGTCCGTTATTAAAGAGAAATGGAACAGACATCCCTAATTTCCTTGCTTTATGTTTAAAAGTAAAGCCAGTAGGTCTAAGCTAAATTTTTGGTCGGTTTGGGGACAGATTATGTGTTATATATTTTGAAACCAACATCTCCCACTTTCCCAGGAATCACCACCAGAGTTGCCTCTTTAAACTTCAGCGGGGCTGCCTCCTACAGCCTCAGCTGACCCCAGGTTTCCCTTTCTTTCTTGCTAACATGTTTTCTCCAATAGCAGATTTGTTGGAGAAAAGGGAAAAAAAGCATATCAGGGACTTTCTTCCTTTTAAATGTAGACATTCTGTTGCCTGGACAGCAGCGAGGGGACCCGAGAAGAGATGAAATGCATTAGGTCACTAAGGTGCATGTAAGGATAAACCCATGAAGAGCAAGATGCAGAACTTGGCAGTGGAACTGCCCTGCTGAGCCAAAAAGCCAGCCAGGGCATGGAAGCTTGTGATTATGGCTTGCTCTGAGAGCGAGACCCGCAGGGAGGGTGTGGAGGCTGCTTGGTGAGAAGCCTGTTTGGAAATACTCGGGGGCAGGGTATGGAGTGAGAAGAGCCTTAAAGGATCCTCACTCGAATTAGACCGTGGATGCTCCTGACCTTAAATTTCAAAAACAAGACAAAATGACAATTTGAAAAAATTGAGAAAAAAGATTACGGACTCCATCTTGAATTCTGTTCTGCTGAAATCAGGTAGTTGGAAGTACAGGCACTTTTATACTCCCTGTCAGACACTCTGGAGAGAAGTGAAGCTTTTGGACGAAATGCTTGAGGTTTGAAACCTGAGCAGACCATGGAGGGAGCTAGTTTGACAGTTCCGAGTTAGAAAGCCTGCCTGGTTCTCTTCCTCCTTTTCTCACGTTTGTTTCTAAATATGGCTGAAATATTTTCTCTATTTAATATTAGGTTGAATTATGAAGTTTCTAATTTAACAGTTTTGGAGTTGCTACATGTGATTTCATTAGCTAAGCCTACCAGCTCCTTTTCTCACACAAGGCTGATTCTAATTTCTCGTGATCGGCTCCCTAAGAGCCCCGTGCTGTTTCTGAATTGTTCGGCAGCTTCTCCTCTGCTTTCAGATACAGACGTTCTTCCTATCTGAATGCTTGCTGCAATTATGGAAAGTGAACGGAAACAAACCATTTAACAATGTCTAATGTGGCATCTAAGTGAGGTAAGTCTTCCTTCCATTCCACTCCAAAGTTACTATACGGAATTTGGTTTTCCCAAACATTAGATTATGGATGTGGTGAGGGCGAGGATGCCCACACTTCAGCGTTTTTAGACTTTTGTTTCACTTCCAATCTAAACACACACACACACACACACACACACACACACACACACACCCCAAAAAATTATATTTAAACACATAATCCACACGAAATAAAAAGAACAGTATATTCATTCCTAAGTTCTTTGGTAGAGTTAAAGTAGACCCTCTGTGACACCTAGTTGTTTCAAGGGTGGGAAAAGCAATTTGCATACACAGTCCTCTGTAATATATGCTTTCCTGTGTGTGGGAAAGCAGTGAGGGGCGTCCTTCCTCCCATTTCTCTAGGAATGGTCCCAGGTTCTGGATAAAGATGCTCATACTAAGCACAGTGTAGAAAGGGTGTTGTCTGGGATGCATAGGAGGCTGCTATCTGGTGGCGGAGGCTGACTTATAAAAGGCTCCCATGAAGGAGGTTGTGAAATAGCCAATACTAGAGGAGTTCATTGACGTGAGAGCTGAGATCCTTCCACGATTTTAGGAGATGATCTGAAGGAAGCAATCGAGTATGGACCTCTCTGCTCCAATTGAACGGTGGCGAAAGCACAGCTTTGTCAGCTCAGAAACATCACGGAAAAGGGAGCTTTCAAAGCAAAACACTGTAACTTGATACAAACAATATGTGAATGAAATTCTGTATTCTATTTTGCTTTTTGAGTATATGCACAATGTAGATCTGTATTTATTTTTCCAAGTCATGTTGACACATCTCTTGAAAGTGTGCTTTATTTAAGATCATCACTGTTGTGGACAACAATCACCATAAAGGTCTTTAAAAAGTTACATGTTTCAAAAGAATATTATTTTAATGTTTTTCTTTATAATTAGTGCATGAAGAAAATATAGTATTTATTTTGAAACCAATAGGTGGTGCTGTGAATTTCTAGATTTTAATTCAAAGAAATAAATTCATTTAACTTCTTCAGTCCTCAGTGGAATTAGAAATTCCTACTTATTACAGAGTTTTCATGTTAAAATTAAAAATCCCACATTGATTTTTACATGTAGTTCTTTTTCATTGCAAAATCAACCATAATGCAGGGTGTAGAGGAAGTCTCCATAGTTTTTGGAAGGAAGGCATATTTGTAAAAACTCACCCACATAGTCTTTTCTATCCTCTCCCCATCTACTAGTTGGAAACACACAAGAATACATAATTTAAATATTGTAGTTCATTGTCTTAACAGCCTTAGGAGCTAGATTTCTATGAAAGACAAAATTGCCTTAGTGCTGCTACGCCCCAATCCTGCTACCTGTCTTCATAGACGCCAAGACTCATGCGTGGTTCATGAGGATCGGGGAGCTACTGAAAGTGAGAAATGCTAGACTAAGAACTTCGTTTGTCTTTGGGGAAGACAATGTGCTTCTTGTACATGTAAGAAACGTTTTGGAACAAGTTCTGCACCTCACGTGGGCAGCGCAACAGAACCAACGACATTGGCCGAGGTGTGGGTGAGCTAGCCCCAGTACTGTAGCAAAGGAGAGCTGTCTTTATTGCTCACCTGTCATGTGGACGCATGGGTTGGGGAGAGATGCCCCCGACACACACATACACCCATCAACACCTGAGGCAGGTGGGAGAACTGACCCTGTCCCTCACCAGCTACAGCACTTGGGAGATTGTCCATATGCCACACCTGGGCAACACAGGAAAGTTGATCTGGAAGGTATAGGGATGAGCCATCAGACCGTGAGGACATAAGAGCAAGAGAACTGGCTCTGCCCCTTGGTCATTACTGTAAGGGCTGAATTTGCCAGGATAATGCAGGATAGCTCACCGGGGTGGTGAAGGCAGGAGAGAGTTGACAGGCTGACCAACCCTCAACTACCTAGACCCAGAACCAAGATTACGGGTTGGTCCACCCCAACATCCACCCCTTCTGTGATCTGTTGGAGCATGTAAAGGGATCCTTCCTGTAGATCCTAAGCTGCGGGATCTCCATGACCCAGGGCAACAGCAGGATGACCAAGAGGAACTCCAGTGAGGGTCCAGCATCAACAGTGTAGCAGAAACCAGAGGCCTGGGACCAGACCAGTGATTCTTTGTAATGAACATTTGCAAGTAAAAATACATGGATAAAAGGGGTTACTATGTAACTTACTGTGTCACACTGCAGTTTCCACGGCAAGATTGATTTTTTCCTTTTTTCTTTCTTTTCTTCTTTTCTTTCAAATTTTATTTTATTTTATTTTATTTTGGGGAGAAGAGGTTGGAAGGGCAGAGGGTGGGTACAAAGGGACAGGGAAATGAGTGGGATGGAGATGCACAATGTGAAAGACACAGAGAATAAAGAAAAAGAAAGAGAAAAAAGAAAAGTTTTGACTGTTCAAAAGCCTCAAAATGTGAGGGTCTCGGGGAAGGAATGTGTGCATGTCAGGGATGTAATTCCTGAAGGTGAAAAAATATCTCTCTCTCTCTCTCTCTCTCTCTCTCTCTCTCTCTCTCTCTCTCTGCAGATGAAGCTGATACAGAGGAAAAACAGTTCCGTTTATGAGTTCTTATAATTGTGCAAAAAACAAAACCCAAAACCAAACCCAACAAGGACAATGACAGCTGTGCCGTGCCTTGCTGTACTACCAACCCTAGCTTTCCCGAATCATCTGGGTGATTTTTAACCTCTCTTCCTGCAGATGCTTGCTACCTTGTGGAGACTGCCAAGTGCCGAGTACTGAGTGAGCAGCCCAATTGCTTATGGAAGGCGTGTTTGCGGAACACATGATCATTTGCATATGATTACACCACATAGAGAGAGCAAGTTTCCTCCTTCCCACCAGGACACTTCCTGGGCTGTCTCCTTACTTCCTGCTCTTCTTAGCCCTGTTTGCTTCCTGCCCTTCAGGGGTCAGGCTGCTTCCTTTCAGCTGAGCAACTCCCAACTATTAATTTTTGCTATGTGCTCTTTATACATAATATTAAGCTATGAGAGAAAACAAAAACAGAAATAAATATCCCAAAAGAGTCATAAAGAGAAAGAGGATATGGAGAAAGGGAGCACACTCTCTCTGTGCTGTGTTGGAGGCCGTGGACCTGGAAGATTCATTCAAGAATGGAAAACTAGGTTTTAAAAGAAATTTGATGACAATGTAGGACACGAGGGAGGGGAGCAGTGAGAATGCTGAAGAGATGTGATAAGGACAGGTAGTGTGGGTCGAGAACTGGTAGATTTTTAGTTTGAGAAGGGATTATTGGGAAGAGTGCAGTGGGGTCAGCAATGATGACGGTCTCCTGGTAACTGACAAGCTGTCATATGGAGAAGGCATTTAAAGAGATTTGATGTGATTCCAGGATGCTTATCAAGAACTCATCAAAGGGACTTGTCACGGTCTCATTTCACTGTCAAGATCCTAGCATGAGATGGAAATAGCTTTCTTTCGCTATTAGAAACGGAAACATAACCCAAGTAAATCTAGTTATAAGATGACATGAAATAAACTAATAACATAGTGAGTTTGGGCTAAATAAAAAAAAATAAAAATGTTATGATGTTTTAAAACATTTTTTTTTTAAAATGCAAAAAACCCCTCCCACTCTCTTCCAATTGTTCCAGTCAATAGACACTGAACAGCTGTTCTGTGCCCCGCACCTCTTTAAAGCACGGACTCAATGCATGGGACAGAGCTGAGCTCTGCTGGGCCCCTGCTTTTACCCAAGCAAAAGATGAGTGTGGTCCCTGCAAAAAAAAAAAAAAAAAAGACAGCAATTTGTCGGCAGATGCTAAGAGCTAAAGCCAAAGTTACAAGGTTCTAATTCACAAGGGGAACGATAGTACTAGCCACAGGTGAACAGGAACGTTTGGATGCCTAGGCTAATAAGAGCCCATCACAGAAAATGTTGGAGCAGGGATTAGCAAACAATCTAGGGAGATACAGAACACCTGGATTGTCTTTGTCCCTTGGCTCCTGAAAGTATATTCATTTTGATCATGTGATATGTTACACCCATCTCTGCACATCTATCACCACCTACACACGGTGGTGGGATGCAAATTCTACAGAATTTTGGGCATCAGATGTAACACACTCACCTCAGAAATTCTCTTGCGATGTAAATGATATGTGACTCTTTCCTTTGTGTGTATTCACCCCTCCTTTCTCTTTTTTCAGTCTTACATCTTCCTTTTCTCCTTTTAGCCCCGGAGAAGTAAATGCTAGCCTGGCCTTTTCTTGTAGCAAAGCTCTAAGACCTCCAGTGACACAGGCTAAAAAGACAGCAATGGAAAGGAAGCTCACAGAGCCCTGATTTTCTCATTCGATTCACGCAGGGCTCCTTTCTCAGGACATCTCCTGGAAACCAGGAAACTGTGCAGCTTTGCAGTTATCTTGGAGGGGAGGGGGCACAGCTTGTTTAGCTAGGAACAGATTTCACTACATGGAAAGAAAAATTTAAACTAAGGCTCATGCCCTGAAGATTTTATTCTCTCATAAACAACAACAACACCAACAACAAAACAAAAACAAAAAAACACAGAGGTTGGATATGCAACTGGTGAAATAGTCATGTAAAATCTTCAGGGCAGCAGCTCCTTTTGGAGTTTCTGTTGCACCTAGCAAAGGGCTCTCTATAGGGTTCTAGAAGGTCACAGGAAGGCCAACAAGATATGATAAATTTGAACTTAGAGAAATGTATGCTAATATCTGAATTACTATCACACACCCTTCCCCCTCTCCGTTCATCCTTTCCTTTCCTCCTTCCTTCCTTCCTTCCTTCCTTCCTTTTTCTTGTGTTTTATCAGGAGAGTTTCTCTGTGCAACAGCCCTGGCTGTTTTACAACTCACTTTATAGAACTCATCCACCTGTCCTTGCCTCCCAAGTATGGGGATAAAAGGCATACACCACCTCACTCAGCTGTATTGTGTGATATCTATTAAATAATTTGGGAGACAACAGAATCTTTCCAATGACTACAGAGCACCAGAGGAATCAAGTCCTTCCTTGAAACCCCAGCAGTAGGTACTGACAAGGAGAGGGTGTGAGGGAAGAATCGAAGCACTTGGTCACGTGTGTTTCTTTCTCACTGATGGGACGCTCAGTTCTTATACAAACCACACACGGAACTTCTGAGATATCCTAGCCATGGAATGGAACCACAACCCATCGCGTCTTCCAGTGTTGTGTAAGTTATCACCACCCTGTTAAATTTCAAGGAATTTTAGAAACTTAGAACAAATTTCTTCTTTAGCAATAAATGAACACTTAGAAAGCGAGAGAAAGCATGGGACTTATGTCTAGGTACCCAAGACTACTACCAATGTGCCATATGTCAATGACTCTCAGTTTCTACATCTGTCCATTCTGGAAGATGACTCTATTGCCCATCTCACATTTTCCTGCATTGAAGAACTTATGAAGATGTTTGGAGCCTGTTGTGTGCAATGGCCACTGTGACCAAGAAGATACATGTAAGAACGTTAAATGTTTAAGATTGGGTGAGGGTTGTCGTTTAAAAGATAAAACTACTACAGAAAGCTAGTGCTTTGCTCTCCTAGCGAAGTAAATGCAAGACATTAAAATTTAGTCCCCATGAAAATTGGACACAATTGTTTTAAATAGGGGCTGAATATGTTTGAAATTGAGACTTTTGCCAGAATCATTTCCTATTTTGTGTGCAGTTGAGCTGATTGAATTACCATTTCTGCCTAGAACCACAGAAGCCCAAGAGACTCTGAGGTCAAAACCACAAACAATGGCTCTTTGTCTAAAAGAACCCCGTCATTGGGCTTTTAGATGCAAGGGTGTCCGATCTCAACGTATAGCAGAATTACTAAGAGTTCAGCCCTAGCCCCAAACAGCTTCTGTGTGTGTCAGGGCTCACCATTCCTTGATTTGTGACTAGAATGTACTACGGTACATAAGACTACAGAAAACCTTTTTCCTTCCTCAGTTCCGTCAGGTGAAATTCACTGTACCTGTGGTTTGGTTCTTTTTGGTTTAGAAGGACAGGATGTAGTAGCTTCCTTTGCCATGTTTGCAAGAGGATGGAGTGAAAGTTGATATAACTTCAGAGGTGCTTTCTCCTGTAACAGAAGAAAACAAATACAGACACCGACAGTCACACAACATGCAGAGAGTTAGAGACCTTGGAACACTCAGTCCTCAAGCAGATGTCTCCATTAAAATCTCTCCTTGGGGATCAAGGTAGCCTTCAAAGAGGAGATGGAAAGAGCGTAAGAACCAGAGGGTATGGAGGATACCAAGAAAATAAGGCCCTCAAAGTCAACAGGATCAACACATATGTTAACTCATAGGACCAGCACGCATAAGGCCTGCGTGAGTCTGTACCAGATGGGGTCCAACAGCTGAAAGGAGAAGTGGACACCAGAAGCAATCTTCAATAGACAATCTCTTGCAAACAAAAATCTGGTTTCCTCCAAAGGTGTCTCACTGGGAAAACAAGCTACTCTTACGGGTAGAGTGTATGCTCAACAGTAGAAGACCAACAGAAAGCAAACACAATAGCTTATACCAACAGAAAGCAAACACAATAGCTTAATTGGGAGGGTCATTTTAAATTTTATCTATTTTTTAATTTTTATTTTACTCTACAGCACACACACACACACACACACACACACACACACACACCTCTTTTTACCCCAAAGTTCCTTTGCTTTTTAACTTTCACTTTAGTGTTTTTATGAGATTCTTGAGTGTACAAGTGGGTGAGTCTCTGTTTCTTGTGTTTTCTCTTAGGCTCTTTTCATTCTGTTTGTTTTGTCCAATTCTGATATGCTAGTTTTGTTTTATCTTTGCTATTATATTTACTATCATATTATCTCATAGAAGCCCATTTGTTTTCAAATAGACAGAAAGGAACTGGATCTGGTGAGAGGGGAAGTGAGGAGGAGTAGAGGGAGGGGAAACCATAATCAGGATTTATTATGTGAGAAAAAAATCTATTTTCAATAAAAGGGGGGAAAAGAAAGTTGATGAATCTGGCGCAATCCACAAATCAGCACCCTGAAATCGTCCAGGGAGACCAGATGAAGAAAGGTGGTGACCAGATGACACAGGCGGGGTGCTCCTCCCAGGGACTCTGCATCTGCTTCTGTCAACGGGAAGCAGGGACGTTGATGAGGTGCATAGCAGAAGTCAACAGGGAGACTTGGAACATGTCCTGGAATATGCTAGAGATGGAAACATGTTTGAGAGGAGGGGTTGACTCTTTGTGTGTGTGTGTGTGTGTGTGTGTGTGTACGCACGTGTGCACGCTCACATGCGCACATATCAACTTGTGTTCAATATTTGCGAGTGATAGTCTGTACCCTTTAAAGCATGTTATTCCTTGGATTCAGCAGGATTACACACACCTCACTGGAAAAGCACAATTCGTATATGTGAGAAGAATAATAAAATGGGAGGTCATCAGAAGGTCTTCCCTTGGAATTAAGTCACACCTATGACTATATTTCCTTTCTCCCTGAAACTACCAGAGCTTGGCATTCGCTGAAATGGAGGAAAACATATTGTAAGCCTGTAGTGGATCCTGACATGCTTTGAGAATAGCAGGCACTCAGTAGATAAATGCACACCTCGGGCACACATGCAAATATGCACTGATCACGCTGCTCTAGAATAGTTCTTTCCACTGACATCAAAGGAAAATGTAAGCCTCATCCTGGAGTCTACTTTGATCCCCACAAGTGACCAGTGAGGTTTTGAATCTGACTCCTTTTGCTGTTTGGTGCTGAGTCCTATATGACGAACTCAGATTTGGTGCCAAAGACTAGGTTCTCAGTGACTGGCTAAAGCCTAGGATGGTGTCTTGCTGCAGTGGGTTTAGAGATGAGACACTAACGGCTGCATGACTAGGGTGATCCAAAGGGTCAGCGTTCAGCCTGGGTTGGGCAAAGACGCTTCCTTTCTTAGCAGTGTTTTTCATCTCTTCAGGACTGCGTGGGATCTGATAGCTGTTGTTCCATAGCAACAATAGCAACAGAGTAAAATGGAGGGATCCAGAAGACTTACTTTAATCTGTTGGCTCTGCATATGATTCTCTTAGACGCATAGCCCTACCATAGTATTAAAGACTAAAGAAAATGAAACTCAGTAATGCTGTCTGTATGCTTATTTATAGATTTCACAGAAACCAACGTGGATTGGTTGCCTTGAAATGGTGGCAGCAGATCATAAACTTGAACTGTAGGAACCAGACTTAAAAGCTAGAAGAAAGCTCAGGCAGTTTGGCTCAATTACACTTATTATGGCTGGGAAACCCAGAATATAGAAAATGTATTCCTTGGTACTTCTGGAATCTAGAGTCCAAACTATAAGCCACAATTCCCCTGGCTCTGTCATATTTATCTGCTTCATTGACTCATTAGGACTAAATATATGTTATTAAATTTAGTGTCCTTGCTCCCAAATCGTTTGTTTATTAAACCTTCCTTCTGGTTTCTGCTTCCAAATGCCGTAATGCCACCCAATTATCTCTGGTTACTAGGAATTTTAA